CTTTGTCGGACTGGCAAAACTTCAAGGCTAGATATGAAGCTGCAGTTCACAACAATCCTAACTTAGGAGTTCTCGAGAAATTTCAGTTTTTACTTGCGCAGCTGAGTAACGAGCCACTGAATCGCATCAAAGGATTGCCGTTGGAGCCGAGCAGCTACGCTGAAGCCTGGAATTTGTTGTGTGAACACTATGACAGCGATAAACGACATCTTGCCTCCCATTTCTCAGCACTGGCTGAATTGCCAGATCTAAAACAGCGAAACGAGATCCCTCCATTTTTAGCAAAGATCCAGGAGCATCTCCATGCCTTACGCGCACTGAGACAGGATTTGAACGTTATTGGACCGGCGCTCGTCATGCCAATACTGAAGAGATTTTCAGAAGAAATAATGGGAAGGTTTGAAGACCAACGAGAGGACTGCAAGAAATTCGCAACTCTCACAGAGATTGAAGATTTTCTGAAGTCTGAAACGGTGAAGTTGTTGGACTCATCAACCGCCGTCGCCCCGCCTACGCAAAAATCCACGCCGTCAGCAGCCAAGATTCTAGTCACGAGCTCGGAAGCCACGCCAGGAAGTCAGAAAGCCAAACCGAAAAATTCTTCGAATTCCAAGAAAAATAAAAATTCTTCAAACCAAACTTCTGAACAAAGCCAGTCATGCCAATGTTGTGTAAGCACAAAGCCCAGTACAGACGCCTCCTCATCTCCCCAGAACTCGCCGAGAATCAACCCAGCATCTGGCAGAGCGTACTATTGTCAATGGTGCGAAGGAAATCACCCCTTGGTGCAATGTGACAAAATAAAATCTTTGACCGTAGCCCAACGCCGTACCCAAGTTAAAGCTGAGAGTAGATGTTTGAACTGCCTGTCCGTCAAACACCACTCCCGGTTGTGTCCCAGTACAAAACGATGTTTGCATCATCCGACAGAGAAACACAACACGCTCCTGTGCGAACATGTTCCTGCCGGAACCAGCCCCGCGCCCGCCGTCGCCCAGACAGTTCCAGCCACAGCTCCTTCAGTAAACGCCGCGGTCAGCAGTTTCTCGCGACACTCTGGAGCCGACCCAACCATCTGCGTTGCCAAATCGCCGCCAACCGTAAATCTCCTACCTACTGCATTGGTTCAACTCCGAGCGGCATCCGGCTACAGCGTTACCGTTCGAGGTTTGATAGACTGCGCGGCTACTCACAGCGCCGTCACTTCTAAATGCGCCGAATTTTTGAAGCTCTCAGCAGAAGGTGAATCTTCGACAATTAGAGGTTTCGCTGCCACGCCGGTCAGAATTAAAGGAAAAATACACGCTGATATTCTTTCAAGATTTGGTCAACCTTTTGCGCAAAATCACGAATGGATCGTAACGGATAAAATTACTACGCAACTACCAGCAGCTCCTGTAACTGAAAGGCTCAGAGTCATGTTCGAAGAAAACCTATTAGCGGATCCGGAGTTTCACACGCCAGCCGACATTGATGTTCTCATCGGAGTAGACCTGTTTGCAGGATTATTTTCAGGGGAAGCTCAAACCACGCAAGAAGGAACGGTGCATGTGAAAACATTTTTTGGAATTGTCTTCGCTGGCCCCGCTGCTCTTCAAATGCCACGCCAACAGCCAAGTTTTCAACCAATAATTTCCGCCTTTATAGACGCCGAGTTGCCAGGACTGAGCCAACAATTTGATCGATTTTATGAAGCAGAAGCCGCCGCATCTACAATTTTATTTTGTGCCAATACAGAATTCTCTCCGCAGCCACGCCCTCTCGTAGAACCTACAATTAACGCCGCAACGCTTCCCATTCCGGAACATTTTGAAAG